AGCGACTGTCGTATCTTTATAGAGTTCGATATTTCGCCTCTTCGGCCGAGGAACGCGATCCGAATGATTCATTACGCAAAGAAGCCACGGGAGCTGAAGGGGTTAAGCGATTACTTAGCCATTCTTCGGAGTTTAATCGAGAGTACGTAATAACGGTACGTTGGCATAGAACGGTGTAACTTGGCGCTCTCTGTCTCTCTCCTATCTTTCTGTGTGGCGAAGTGGCACGTTCTCGGCTACGATTCATTCAGCCTGCTGAAAGACATACACTAGCTTATTGGAATCAGTCTCATGAAATATAATGATTTGTAAAATCAATCGTGATTTCTGAACAATTTAAAAAATTATTTAGATATTTATCGAATAATTTCATTTTTTCGTCTTCCAAAATAATTATAAATTTCTTTAAAATAATTCAAAATATATGGATAAAGTAAATAGAAGTAAAAAGAAAATAATGGAACATGAGATATAGCATAATTTTCTTACGTTGTGAAAATTGATATATCATATATAAATGAAATTGATGTAGAATATAAATAATATATTGTATGTGTAATGAGATGTGGATTAAATGTATAGACTTATTTTTAAACTCAGTATTAGTTATATTATTATTATAATACTGATATAAATACGAAGAAAAATTTTATACTTAATTTTATTACGCTAACGACGTATTATTAATTATGTTACTTCGATGTAATGGATCATCATTACTGGAAGGAACGTAACACCGTAAAATAAGACATCATTGTTTTCAAAACCTTTAGAAAATAAAGAAAGAGTTTTAAATAATCTTTTTATGATTTTATCTGAAGTTATATAAAGAATCGATATCATTAAAGATACCTTGTGATTTTTAAAACCCATAATTTAAAAAATAATAATGCAATTCTTTTACTTACTGTACCAAAGCTTTCAATTGATAAAGTTATAATTTTGCCGGCAGTTATTTTGCACGGTGATATAGTTCTACTCATAATTAAAAGAAAAAGATTTTGACATCTCTTTGAAGTATAATACCAGTTTCCTCTGCAGCTGTAATGCAAAGCAAAGTTCGTGAATCATTCCAAATATAACAATTCAAGTTAAGACAGGAAAACCTGCATAGATTCTTACATAGATTCGCATGGAACAATACTGTAATCTAATAGAAATTGTGCTTGCCAAAATTGGAGAAAGATATGGACAAGTTGCGCAATATAAATAGCCATAGGTGCTGCTATATCCTTAGCACCTTTGTTTAAATTCATTACCATCTGAAATACAAATTTAATTCCTTTGAAAAGACTTTTTAATTTTTTCATTGCTGCGGTTATATCCGATATTCCGAAAATTGTTAATGAAAGTGTAACTATATTGTGCTTATGAAATACGTATTAATTGTAACTGAATTATGAAATTTTTTATTTTCTGTAAAATATAGAATATATATAAAGATTAATGCATACATGTATACCGGTCATACTTCCACCAATCATATTTAGATTAACGCTGATTAGAAATATTTTTGTATACATAGACTCGATTAATTCCGCGAATCTACAAAATCGTGAACACAAGCAACACAGAGAATTGATATTATATTTTTAATCGATATTTATTCCACATTTTTTAATACGCACTTTATTGCTTGTAGATGTTTACGCAAGCAATCTAATGCCTTCTTGTAATCATCGTCTTGTATTTTATTTCGCTTCAGATGAAAATTAATATCATTATTTTTCCCAATTTTCTCTAGCACATGTCTGGAAGCGCACTAAAATATTGGTGCAAGAAATACTTTTATCTTAGTTTGTGACTGTTAGTTGTGAAACCTGATATTTTTACCCAATGATAGAGAACATTCCACAGGCATGCTGGATCAATATACAATATAAGGAGTCAACCGCGATTGTACTAAATACGTGAGCGAAGACGGCTAGATAACAGTGAATTGTTATTGGGTAGAAGTATCGTTCTATGTCCACGCCATACTCGACACGAAATGGCAACTTTGTAATTGTTTTTGTAGAATTTGCGATATCGGTTTCTAAGAGCGTCAGGATGACTGATTTGAGCAAGTAAAAAACTTGTATCATATGCATGAAAACTAGAAAAAATATAGTACATATTATATTAGTGAATTATTTTCATACATTTTTATTAAAAGCCTCTTTAAAAGTCTTCCTTGTTTAAAAACGCTTCGAATTACTAAGAACATCTTTTTTATAATAAATACTTACGCAAGTTTTAAGATTAAAAAAAAATGAAAAATTTAAGAAATTACGAAAATAAAAAATATACCGTTATATAGATCAATTAGTATGCATATTTAAAAAGTACATCTTATACATTTTCTATGATGTACCTGCATAAGATGTCGACAGATATTGTCCGTATTTAGTGTGATGTTGCAGAATAGACCTTTCTACATCTGTATTTAACGACAGCCAATCTTCCTCTATTATCTTAAGACAAGACTTTATCTGTGTAATATACATTTGCATATTTTTTATCATATTAATGATTTAATGAAGAAACAGTTTGATTACCTTACGGTAAGATTGAATTTATTAAAATTATTACTTACATTTTTGTCAAGCATTAAACTCGCTACTTTATAACTGAATATTATACTGATCATCGCTGCTGTTATACTTTCTATTATCTCATTGATATTCGAGGTAATTAACACATACATTAACTATATTAGGATTAATATTGTGCAACATTAATTCATCAAAGTTTTTATTAATGGAAAAAATTATAATGATTAATTCGAGGACATAAATATAATTTATCATGAATTGTTTTCTCATAAGCGTTTTACCTGAGGTATCAGAATACTAGAGCAGAATGTAAATGTTGGTATAAAGTGTATGTATCTGTCGCGAAGACTTTGATACGGCCATATGCCTGATATAGTCATATAAGTTCTGAGAACAAGATAGTACCGACTTTTCCAAATGTCTTTCTTGTCAGTCATTTTGCAGGACACTAATATTACGGTCTATCAACAATTCCTTGTGGCCGTTTGTCCGCGCGATGAATTACAGAAGCTTACTTATTGATTCCTTCTGACACAGCAAAAATAGCACAGAAATTACGCTTGAGAGTAAGTGCGCAATTATTTATGACAGTAAACCCTTTCCCTCTCGCGTTTCTAAAGTCCTTTTATCATTTCTCTTTGAAGATCGAATTAATTTTACTTTCCTGTAACAGTACTGCGTAACATTCATTAAACCATATTTCGAACGTAATATATAACGAGTAATGCATCGAACAGTCTTATTCCTTTTGATTTTAGAAAAGTATTATTTGTTCTTAAACAATCGGAGAAAAGAAATAAAAATAATTGTAAGAATGTCTAAAATCTATAAAAATATCAGATTTAAGTGAAATTGATTTGTAATAAGGAAAATTTTGTTACCTTTATGTACACGGAAAGAATGATTTTGCTGAAATATCGAAAAATGTAGCTAAATACAGATCTGAAAATAATTTTATTGAACCATCTAATAATTACATAATCGTAAGCGTAATGAGCAATGCAAAAAAGTTTTGACATTTTAACAGTCAGTTTGAGCGTCCTACATAATTATTTTTATAGCTCACAATAAAACTATTTTTAGATCTATATTTTTATAAAATCTATCTATTTTTATAAAATCATCCTTTTCATGTATTGTATTGAAAATAGTCTACATAGTAAATTCATTGTAATCAAGATAACTAGAAAAAATTAGAATAAATGAAATATTTAAATAAATTCTTTCTAATTGCAGTTATTATAAAAGATCTAATTAAAAAATGTTTGACATGAATTTTTGGCAACATTAAAAATAGATATTTGATTTTTTCCATATTTTAAAATTTCTGCGTTTAAGACTGTTAGATAAGATAATGTGATAGGAGGAGCTAGAAAGGATTGAAAGTAGGTTGCGTCACGAATACTCCGAGTTACAAGCGCGACGTGGGTAAGATATTATGTGAGACGTTACACAGATTTAATATTTTGCATATATATATATATATAAATATGCATATATATTTATAACTATACATGTATAACTACATATTGTATATATATGTATGTAGACGGTACGCTACGCGAAAAGAGGCTGTGGGAAAGATAGCGTCCGCTATGCGAGATCTCCCGTTGCTGTGTTTACGAGGAAGGCCCCTTGGCGACTCTAGACCTCGCGGCCAACCTTCGTCCTCCTTTATCATCGGTCTCGGATTAACCGCCGTCGTGGGTCACAGATTCGCCGATTTCGATCTAAACTCGATTATTTAGAGATGGATCGATTAACGAGATATTTACGGTTACTAATGTTGAGAAACGTTTTCCTTGCTATTAATTGTTCCTATTAGGCGTTTTCGAAGATGAAGGAAAGTGAATAGTATTTTGAATTACTTATCACACTTGAAATATTGTTATTGATATTTCAATGTGTTAATAGGAAATAATTGATTTTACACGTCAGAGTATACACTTATGAATTTCTCTAAAAACTTTGTAATTATCAAAATATATAAGATTTTAACAAATATTGTTAAGTGATATCAAACTTGAATTGTTATTTTGAACCATACGTATATATAAATATACGTATATATAAATATACGTATATATAAATATACGTAAATGTTTTTTATTGCTTAAAGCGAATAAACATTGTTTATTAATCATCTAAAATTATCACCATTCACTTTCGGGCTGTTTATATATATGTATATCAATAATGGTTAACATTAAAATTTAATTTATTGATAATGATAGGTTAAATAAATGGAAATTTAAGATGTGCTGGAACAAAGAAATTTCATTTATTTAACTTCTCTATTATTCTCTCTTATTCGATTTTTAGTCAAGTGGCTTCCTCAAAATTAATATTTGAAATAAAATAGTAGATTTAATCAAGTAGATTTAATAACAGTCAGGTGATTTACATTTTTGATGTTACAAAATATAAATGTTGTAAGAGTATAAAAACATTGTATTCTTTTTTCAGAATGGAAACTTTTCAAGAAGCCGGTGTTCAAATGCTGAAGGAATTCAGAGCTTTGTTGCAGCACTCGCCACTACCGCTTCCTGGTACTCGTTTACTTCAGCTTTTGGCGCTGAACATGTTCGCAATTGAGACCACGCAGCTAAAAGGTAAGTCGAAATGTTATAATTTTTTGTATATATCTTTTAATATTGCGAATAATCTTGCTTATATTTATAAAACATTGTGACATACTAATTATACGAATGTACAAATATTTTTATATGTACAAATATTTTAATTATTAAGGAGAAATACAATTTTCAATTAAAGCAGATTGTTGTTGATGTTTATTGTTAGTAATATTCATATGTCATAATACAAATACAATTATTATTTGTGCTATTTGGAATTTCTCTTCTTATTTGTGTTTAAACGTTTTTTGGTCTATTTCACTTAATACTGTTTATTTCATGTGACCTGAAAAACATTACGATTAATATCATTACATGCCTTGGTGATCGAATAGGACGCCCACATGGAATTTAAGATTAATAATTTATTTAATTATTAGATAATTTATTTAATTCTCAAATCCGAGTTCTCAAATCCCGGTTGAAGTAATATTTTTCGTAATAGGTTATCTTTTTAAGGTGTTAATACCATTATTGTGAAGACGATTAAGTAAGATTAGTATTTTCCTTCATGATTGTGTTTCAAATCCAATAAACCAAATAAGCGCACAATATACAGAACTTATATAGTTGTATTTACATATAAATATTACTAATTGTAAGCACCTAGATTACTAGTTGATGATATTTCTCTGTTTTTTGTGTTTAAACTTCTCGATTCATTTCATTGTTTTAATTATTGTTATTATAGTTATTATATGTTCAGATTATTTGTGAAAATTATAGCTTTTAATTGTTTTG